GTTCTGGCAACCGGAGGCCATCAAAAACTTGTAATGTTCCATCATGGCAACCGGATGTTGGATTTCTGGAGGGGAGACATGTGTTCGATGTTTTGTCGATTGGATTCGGTCAATGGGCCCGTCGATCAGTTGCGCGTCGCCGAGGGACCCTTCGAGAGTGCCCACGTCGTCCTGGCAGTTCTCCGAGGACGGTCGGTGCAGAACCCGACCTTGGGGGGCTGCGAAATCATGGCGAGGGCGATGCTGCTGATGTTCGACGTCGGTCCAAGTCGATCGCGCCAGGCAGCACCTCGAGAATTGTCACATCCTCCTCTCCCTCCTCCCTATCGACGTCGGTCCAAGTCGATCGCGCCAGGCAGCACCTCAAGAACCTTCACATCCTCCTCTCCCTCCTCCCTATCCTCCTGCTGCTGAAGGTTGTACCTGTCTGTTCTCCTCCTCGGTTCCTCCGATCACTCCTCCTTACCTATCTTCCTGCTCCCTACCTCCTCCCTCCTTCTCCTCCTCCGTTCCGACCTGTCTACGCTTATCGGGGGGTCGTCGGCACGCAGACACGTGATACCGATGTGCTTGCCCTGCCTGCGCCACTTTGCGATTATCGCCAGCCCAGTTCTCGGGCCGACCTGGCTTGAATTGTCAGGTCCCCGCTCTCTCGACGCGTCGCTGGCCCTGGAGATCTGCCCGCTCGCGGGAGGCCTGCAGGCTGGACCCCTGGGGACAATCGGATGCACGCCGCACACATCTCCAGCCCAGCGATTGCTGGCTGCACCAGGGCCGAGCTCCAGCGCGCACCTCTACTCGAACGGTCTGCCGGCTGACACGACCGACCCCAAGGACCATCCTCCCTCCGTCCCTCCTCCTCATTTGTTTGCGCATTTGTCTCGCATTGCATGTTGCCCAGACACGCCAGATTCCCCAGGCTACGGCCTTGCCCACCCCGTCTTGAGTAGGCCCGGACGCTGTCCGCAACGGTGGTCGCATCGCATGACGCCAGGGTTTGATTTTCAGCGCGCAGCTCCACTCCAACAGCTCCTGGTTTGGCCCCGCTCTGTCGGAGGCGCTGCTTGGCTCGGTCGCAGACCTGCCGGCTGAACTATTGACCCTCTGCGTGTCTTTGCCAGGCCATGCAGAAGCAATGATTGGGCAATTGGCTACGCTGAGTGAAGACAGAGAGAGAGGACACCAGTCACCTAAAACCGAGATGATCAAAAGCAGGTCGCAAAGGCAGCGCAGCTACGAAATTGCTAGCACATGCAATGAATTTGGATATATTAAGCCTCTTTAGAGTGAACTTGAATTTAGCCGAACTGCGCTACCAGCTCGGCGCCCGAGAAGGGCACGATAGCATTGCGCCAGTCTCAAGGCCACGCGGAGACGTATATCAGCAACGGTCGAGAGGAGGAGGAGGATGCGGAGGCAGACGCAGAAAGAGAAGGGTCACATCACAATGCCATGAAGCAAAGGCGTAATATGGCTGCATGCGGATCCTCACAGGGTGGGAAGCGAGCAGGATAGAGGATGAAGACAGAGTGGATGGAGACAGTTTGAGAGAGGAGAAAGGAGAGGGGGGCCACCAGGCTGCAGGCCAGAGGTTCGCAGTTTCCTGTACCAGTTGCAGCTTCCAGTTTCCACTGTTACAGTTTTGTTTCTTGCTACTTACTGTTCCTTGTTACAGTTCTGCTTCTTGCTGCTTACTGTTCCTTGTTGATGGACCGCGCGAGGGGGGGAGGCCCAAAACGGGCATGCTTACCACGCCCAAATCGTATTGTCTGAATTGCTGGGGTGGGTAAAAATTGACACCCCTCACGCAGATCGGCGGGGTCAGGGTCCAAATACAAAGGGGATTTGTTACATTTTTCAAATTCGGCGGCACCCCTCACGCAGATCCGCAGGGTCAGTGTCCAAAAACACAAAGGATTTGCTGCATTTCTGAATTCGGCGGCACCCCTCACGCAGATCGGCGGGGTCAGGGTCCAAAAACACAAGGGATTTGCCACTTTTCTGAAATCCGGTGGCACCCCTCACGCAGATCGGCGGGGTCAGGGTCCAAAAACATAAAGGATTTGCCACATTTAAAAAAAAAATCCTGACACCCCTCACGCAGCTCGGCGGGGTTTGGGTCCAAAAACATAAAGGATTTGCCACATGTTTGAAATTCGGCGGCTTCCCTCACGCAGATCCGCAGGGTCAGGGAGTGCCACATTTTTGAAATTCGGCGGCGCCCCTCACGCAGATCCGTAGGGTCAGGGTCGAAAAACAAGCAGGTCCCGACACTGCTTCACGGCGAAGCCAAAGCCTCATGACTTCGCTCTTCCATGGCCCATTCTCCGAGAGAGGGGGCCGGCGGCAGGGGGCGAAGCCCTTCCGGATAAAATGGCACGGAGAGCCGATCTGGATGCGAAGGCGCAAAAAAACAGTTGTTGAGAGAAGAAGGGTAGGAAGAATTCGGATGAGAGCTCAAGAGAGATGTAGAAGTAAGATTGAGTAGGGGGGAGGGTGACACGCGCGGAGATGAGTTCTCCCAGGCGGTGGATCGCCAGCATTTCTGGCCCTCAGAGACCGGCCAGCTCGTCTATGCCGACGTGCCGCTGCGCAGCGGCTCTCCCGCTTCTGTCATGTGCCCCCCCCCTCGTCTTCCTTGCCCTCTTGGTCGCTCTCCCCCCCCCCACCCCCGATGCCCTCACGCGCTTGCTGGCTGTATCTTTACCTCGTCTGTTGTCCCGACTTGCCGCATCAAATCGGTCAGCATGCACTCTGCCCCCTGCACGCCGCTTCGAGCAGCAATATACTGTCCGAGCACGTCACTCTCAGTGTGATGGGTTGGTCTAGTTCATGTGTCGCACGGGTTCATGGCTGCCTGATGGCCAGTGTGATCGCTTCGAACCTTCACCAGTGCAGGTTCTTGTGCATGCTGATCTGCCTCCTAGATTTCTGGGTCTAGCCACATCTACATAGGACATCCTCTCCTGTACATTGCGCTCTAAGAACTCCATGGCACTAGTTGAGCGAATATGTCTACAAGCAGCCTCGTGGTGGCGAGTATCTGCATCTGCGTGTATCTGTCCAGGTCTGCGTGCGATATCCCAGTGTGCGCTTGCGTGTACGTCCTTGTGTGTTTGTCAGCGCCCGCGTGCATACACCTGCATGTGGTGATTGTGCGGTGCGTGTGCGCGTCTGTGTTTTTGTGTGGCATTTCCTCGGGCCGCTCGCATCGAATGTTGCGTCTCCTGGCTCGCATGTGACTGCGTGTCCCGGTTTACGTGCTCCGCATGCGCGATTTGAGTGGGTTATTCTGGCGTTTTGGCAGTGCCAGACTTCTCGTGCCCAAGATAGGATGGCATTTTCTGCTTGGCCTTGAGTTCCCGCTTCGTGTGGGTGCTCGAGACGCGCGCCCTGTCAGAAAAAATGCGCGTGTGCGCGTGTGCGTGCGAGAGTGAGTGAGTAAGTCGATGTACGTGTGCGTCTGCGTGTGCGTGTGTGTGAGTGTGTTTGTGTGCGGCTCTCTGTGATTGAGTGTGTCTATGTGCGTTGTGTGTTGTGTATTGTGTGTTTGTGTATGATCGGGGGTGGACAGAACCCCCAACAGTGACACGTCGATTAGTGAATTGTCCGTTTTCGGTTCTCGAGAGGGCGCCGTGGCCGTTATTTTCCAGGCTTGCGCCCGCCAGGTTTAGGCCTCAGGTCGTTTTCACTAAACCACGTTTTACTAAAGGGGGGTCTGTCCATCCCCGATATGATGTGTGTGCTATGTGTCGTGTGTGTGTTGTGTGTAGGTGTGGGTGTGTGTGTGTGTGTTTCGTGTGTGTGTGTGTGCTTTTGTGTATGTGTGTCTGTGTGAGTGTGCGTGTGTGTGTGCGTGAATGTGTGTGAATGTGTGCGCATGTGTGCGAATGTTTGTGTATATGTGCAAGTATGTGTGTCTGAATGTGTGAATGTGTTTGAATGAGTGTAAATATGCGTGAATGTGTGAATGTGTGTGTGTGTGGGTGTGCGTGGGTGTGGGTGTGCGTGCGTGCGTGCCGGCATGCGTGCGTGCGTGTGTGTGTGTTGTGTGTGTTGTGTGTGTGTTGTATGTTGTGTGTTGTGCTTTGTGTGTTGTGTGTTGTGCGTTGTGCGTTGTGTGTGTTGTGTGTTGTGTTGTGTGTGCGTTGTGGATTGGGGTTGAGGGTCGTGGGTTGTGGGTTGTGTGTTATGTGTTGTGTGGTCTGTGTGTGTTGTGTTTGTGTGGTCCGATACCCCCCTCTGGCTCAAGCCCTCTGGCTCAAGGTTGGCCGGCGCGGCCTAGGCGGCGCGGCCGGGCCGCGCGCCTCCGCCGCCGCCGCCGCCTCGGCATGGGCGTCCCAGAGACCCCGACTGCGCGGAGGCGGCGGCAGGTTTGCAACGCTGCGGCCCTCCGGCTGGCGGCCGCGGTCGGCGCCGGCGCGCCGCCGGGGCTCCCTGGCGCCCCTGGCCCGTGCCGTGCGGGCGCCGTCGGCGCCGCCGCCGTCTCTCTGATGCCGCCGGCGCGGGCCCCCGGCCTGTTGGCGCTGCCGCCGCGATGGGCGCCGCCGCTCCCCGCGGCGCGCCCGCCGCCGCCGGCGCAGCCGGCGCCGCCAGCCTGCACCGTTCCGCCGTTGCTGGCGCTGCCGACGCCCCCGGGGCCTCCCGCGGGCCGGTCGGCGCGGCCGGCGCGGCGCGGGCTGGCCGCCTGTCCACCCCAGCCTAGGCTCCGAGCGCTGCCGACGCCCTCGTGCTGGTCAGCGCCGCCCGCCCGGGCCGCCCCGCGCCCTGCCCGCCGGGCGCCGCCGACGCTGCCGCCGCGGCCGCTGGCGTCGGCGCTGGTGGCGCGGCTGGAACGCCGGGCGCTGCCGCCGCAGCCGCCGCCTGTGCTTGCGCTGCCGCCGCCGCCGCGGCGGCGGCGCGGGCCGCCATCTGGGAGGGCGTCGGCGAGCTGGCGCTGGCTGCGGAGCTGGCCGCCGGGGAGGCCGCTCGGCTGGCGGCTGGAGGACACTTTCGCGGAGGAGGACGGGCCGGAGAACACGTTCGTGGACGGGCCGGAGGGCACGTTCGTGGAGGAGGAGGGCCGGAGGGCCCGTTTGTAGAAGAGGACACGTTCGTGGAGGATGGGATCGCGGACGGGCCGGAGGACGCGTTCGAGGTTCGAGGTGGAGGAGGGCGTGGAGGAGGACAACACGGAGGCGTTCGAGGAAACGTTCGAAGTGGAGGAGGTAAATCAGAAGATCGCGGGTGACGTGGTGGAGGAGATGGACGAGGACGAGATCGAGAAGGAGGTGGAGGAGGTCACGGAGGTGGACGCGAAGGACGTTCAGGAGGACGTCGTCGTGGAGGAGGAGATGGGCGTGCCGGAGGACGTGGTGGAGGAGATGGAGGCGGAGCTTTCGGACTCCCGCGCCGACGAAGTCGCCAAGTCCCGGACCGACGCCAGCACCGTCAAGCTCACCGACTCCTCCACCGTCATGCCCTCGGACTCCTGCGCCGACGAGTTCGCCAATTCCCGCGCCGACACCAGCGCCGTCAAGCTCGCCGACCCCTGCGCCGGAACGGAGTCCTGCGCCGACGAGTTCGCCAACTCCCGGGCCGACACTAGCACCGTCAAGCTCGCCGACTCCTGCGCCGTCAAGCTCACCAACTCCTGCGTCGACCGCCGGGAAGTCGAGGAGGAGGGCAAGATCGAGGTGGGGGGTGGAGCTCGAGGACGGGGTCTTCGAGGCGGAGGAGGACTTCGAAGAGGGCGTCGAGGAGTTCGAAGAGGTCGTCGAGGAGGAGATGCAAGAGGTCAAGGAGAAGTTCGACGACAAGGAGGACGAGGTGGAGGAGATGAACGAGATCGAGAGGGGGGCGGAGGAGGTCACGGAGGCGATCGAGGAGGCGACCGAGGCGGAGGAGGCGGGGAAGGTCGGCGAGGTGGCGGGGGACGACGAGGTGGAGATCGAAGAGGAGGAGGAGGAGGAGGAGGAGGAGGAGAGCACCGTCCAGCTCTCCGATTCCTGCACCGTCAAGCTCTCGGACTCCCGCGCCGACGAGTTCGCCAATTCCCGCGCCGACCAGCGCCATCAAGCTCGCCGACCCCCGCGCCGGAATGGACTCCTGCGCCGACGAGTTCGCCAACTCGCGGGCCGACGCCAGCACCGTCGAGCTCGCCGACTCCTGCGCCGTCAAGCTCACCAACTCCTGCGCCGACCAGTTCACCGGCCCCGCCCGCGAGGTGGGGGGCCAGGTGCAGGAGGCGGAGGACGAGGCGGAGGACGAGCTGAAGGGCGATGACAACAGCAGCAGCACCCTCATGACAGTCAGGAGCAGCCCCCCCGCGACTGCAGGACGACGTCCCCTGGCGACAGTCAGCGGCTACAGCAGCAGCAGCCGCAGCAGGCAGCGGCAACAGCGGCGGCAACAGGCAGCGGCAACCGAGGCGGCAGGCAGCGGCTACAGTCAACCCCATCCACGCACGATGCCCAGGCGGCACAACGCACGTTGTGCAATCTACGGCTCCCGGCACAGCTCACAGCGCAGCCGACCCCAATCCAAGGATTCCCGCGGCCACGCCAGCCACCGCAGCCAGCCTCGTTCACCAGGACGCAATGGCCGACCACCCAGCCCACGCCGTGGACGACAGCGCAGCCTGGTGTGCCGCGTCAATCGCACCGCGTTGGTTGCCACGCCTTCGAACCGCAAACGATGCACAGTTTCCTGGAACCTCGACACCACGAGTTCCACGCTTACACCGCGCCGCCGCCCTGACCACAACCGCCCCTGGGAAGACCGCCGCGCCCACTGGCCGAGACGCCCAGACGAGACGGCGGCCACCCACCTGAAGAGGCTGAAGGTCGAGGGAGGCTACTACTTCACCGCAGCCTGGCACTCCTGGCGCAGGCACGTGGGCCAGGAAAAGGGCAAGGCCAGGGGCCAAGTCAAGTTCGACCCGTCCCGCTGGAAGCCCGACATGATCGAACGCTTCCTGGATGAAATGTCACACAGCCACTACGACGTGGGCACTTGGTCCCGGAACGCGGGCGTCCACGTCGACTGGGACCGCGAAAACACCCTGCATCTGGAATTCCAGCGGAAGCGGGAGGTGGCCAAAGGCGAGGGGCACGGGGACGGCCCAGCACGCAGCTCTGGGTACACTGACAATTGGACCGGGAAGCGCCCCTGAACGCCTCCCCTGACGCCGCCGCCCAGGATGCCGCACCAACCGCCCCTCCTATCCCTGGCAGGCCTCCCGGCGCTGTTCTTCGGGTACGGCCTGTTTGTCGCCTTCTATAGCGCTTGGCCCTGGCTCCCCCTTCTCCCCTCCTCCTACGCACCTTACAGTGGGACGGTTAGTCCCTCCTGATCCCGCGCCAAGTGCGACATCGACTGGGATTGCGAGAACGCCCTGTATCAGGAATCCGGCGGAACCAGGATACGGCCAAACACAACGGGCGCGCGGGACGGTCCGCTACGCAGTTCCGGGTCCGCGGACACTGGCACGGAATGCAGCGCCCAGGCGCTGACGCACCTCAATGCGTCTAACGGTTCTCTTGACCCCGGGTACCACGTCCGAACCGCCCCTCCCGTCCTTGGCAACGCATCACGGCGCCCTTCTTCGAGTACGACCTGTTCGGCGCCTTTGGCAACATGCCCTCCCCCTCCATCCATCCCATTTACCTGAATTGGGGACCGTTAGTCTCCCATGATTCCGCAGGATCCGCCTGCTTCCTGCAACTGGCGTTGACGCCCGGCTGCCGGCGTGGGGCGGTGTGTGCGTGCGTTTGCGCGTGCGCTGTTGTGCGCGTGCGCGCGTTTCATCCTCCCCGCGAGCAGCACCACGAGCATTGCGAGTGCAAGCGGTACGAGCGGCACCACTACGCTCAGCACGTCGGCGACCAGTACGACCGAGAGCAGCATCACGCGGATGACGAGTACGACCGGCACCAGCGCCACCACTACGCCCAGCACGACGGCGAGCAGTACGACCGAGAGCAACCCCACGAGTGTGGCAAGCGCGACCAGCAGCACCACTACGCCCAGCACGTCGGTGGAAGGTACGACCGCGAGCAGCACCACGAGTATGACGAGTGCGACCTGCACCAGCGGCACCATTACGCCCAGCATGTCAGCGAGCAGTACGACCGAGAGCAGCTCTACGAGTATGACGGGTGCGACCAGTACCAGCGGCACCACTTCGCCCAGCATGACGGCGAGCAGTACGACCGAGAGCAGCACCACGAGTATGACGAGGATGACCGCCACTAGCGGCACCACTACGGCCAGCGCGTCTGAGAGCAGTGCGAGCGAGAGCAGCACCGCGAGTATGACGAGCGCGACCGGTACCAACGGCACCACTACGCCCAACACGTGTGCGAACAGTACAACCGAGAGCAGCACCACGAGTATCTCGAGAACGACAGGTACTAGCGGCACCCCCACGCCCTGCACGTCGGCGAGCAGTACGACCGGGAGCAGCACCACGTGCATCAGAACTGCGTCCGGCACATGCGGCACCACAACGCCAAGCACGTCGGCGAGCAGTACGACCGAGAGCAGCACCACGGGTAGGGCGGGTTCGACTGGTATCAGCAGCACCGCTACGCCCAGCACGTCGGCGAGCGGTACTACCGAGAGCAGCGCCACGAGTAAGGCGACTATGGCCGCTACCAGCAGCACCACTACGCCCAGCACGTCGAGAAGTAGTGCGACCGAGAGCTGCACCACGAGTATGACGAGTACGACCGGTACCAGTGGCACCGCTATGCCCAGCACGTCGGCGAGCGGTACTACCGAGAGCAGCACCACGAGTATGACGAGTACGACCTGTACTAGCGGCTCCATCTACGCCCAGCACGCCGGCGAGCAGCACAACCGAAAGCAGCAAAACCAGTTTGACGAGTACTATCGCTACCTGCATCTCCACTACGCCCAGCACGTCGGAGAGCAGTAGGACCGAGCGCAGCACCACGAGCATGACGAGCACGATTGGTACCAGCTGCACCACTACGCCCAGCACCTCGGAGAGCAGTACGACCGAAAACAGCACCACGGCTACGACGAGCACGACCGCTACTAGCAGCACCACTACGCCCAGCACGTCGGAGAGTAGTACGATCGAGAGCTCAAAACGAGTATGACGAGTACGACGGGTACTAGCGGCACCACTACGCCCAGCACGTCGGCGAGGAGTACGACCGAAGGCAGCACCACGAGCATGACGAGTACGACGGGAACCAGCGGCACCACTACGTCCAGCTTGTCGGCGAGCAGTACGACCGAGAGCAGCACCACGAGTACGACGAGTACGACCGCTACCAGCGGCACAACTACGCCCAGCACAACGGAGAGTAATACGACCGAGGGCAGCCCATGAGCATGACGAATACGACGGATACCAGCGGCACCATTACGCCCAGCACGACGGCGAGCAGTACAACGGTGAACAGCACCGCAAGTCTGGCGAGCGCGACTGGTACCGGCAGCACCATTACGCCCAGCACATCGGAGAGTCTTGAGAGCAGCACCATGTGTATGACAAGTACGACCGACACCAGCGGCTCTACGCCCAGCAGGTCGGCGAGCAATACGACCAAGAGCAGCACCACCAGTGTGACGAGCGCGGCATCTACCACCAGCACCACTACGCCCAACACGTCAGCGAGCAGTACGACCAAAAGCAGCACTACGGGTGTGACGAGCGCGACCGATACCAGCAGCACTACTACGCCTAGCATGTCGGCGAGCAGCACGACCGAGAGCATTACAACAGATGTGACGAGCGCGACTGGTGCCTGCAGTACCACGACGCCCAGCACATCGGCGAGCAGTTCGACTGAAAACAGCACCACGAGTGTGGCGAGCGCGGCTGGTACCAGCAGCACCACCACGCCCAGCACGTCGGCGAGCAGAGCAACCGAGAGCAGCACCACGAGTATGGTGAGCACGACCGGCACCAGCAGCACCACTACGCCCAGCACGTCGGCGAGCAGTACGACCGAGAGCAGCACCACCAACGTGACGAGCGCGACCGCTACCAGCAGTACCACCAAGCCCAGCACGTCGGCGAGCAGTACGACCGAGGGCGGCACCACGGATATGACGAGCGCGACCGATGCCAGCAGCACCACTACGCGCAGCAGGTCGGCGAGCAGTACGACCGAGAGCAGCACCACGGATGGGACGAGCGCGACCGGTGCCAACAGCACCCACTAACCGGTTACACCCAGCACAGCGGCGAGCAGTACGACCGAGAGCAACCCCACGAGTGTGGCAAGCGCGACTTGTACCAGTAGCACCACTACGCCCAGCACGTCGGAGAGTAGTACGACCGGGAGCAGCACCACGAGTGTGACAAGTACGACCGGTACCAGCGACACCACTACCCTCATCACGTCGGCGAGCAGAGCGACCGAGAGCAGCTCCACGAGTATGACGAGCGCGAACTCTACCAGCAGCACCACTACGCCCAGCACGTCGGCGAGCGGTACTACCGAGAGCAGCACCACAGGTGCGACGAGCGCGATCGCTACCAGCAGCACCCTATGCCCAGCGCGTCTGAGAGCAGCGCGACCGAGAGAAGCCCCACAAGTGTGACGAGCGCAGCTGGGATCTGCAGCACCACCAAGCCCAGCACATCGGAGAATAGTACGACCCAGAGCAGCAAAACGAGTATGACGAGTACGACGGGTACCAGCGGCACCACTACGACTAGCACGTCGGCGAGGAGTACGACCGAAGGCTGCACCACGAGCATGACGAGTACGACAGGAACCAGCGGCACCACTACGTCCAGCTTGTCGCGGCGAGCAGCACGACCAAGAGCAGCACCATGAGCACGACGAGTACGACCGCTACCAGCGGCACAACTACGCCCAGCACATCGAGAGTGATACGACCGA